TGTGTGTGTGAAATCCAAAGAGTGGCTCTAACGTAACCAAGGGACGCGATGTATAATAGAGTTTAAAAACCTTTTTACCTCCCTTTTATTATAAAGTTGTCTTTTTTGTTTGTCAAGGCGTTTTTTTAATGCATGATGAGATGTTCCGTCGTAAAATAATTTTACCTCTAAACTAGGAGCATCACATTGTCGTGGTCATAACAAAATTACACGAAGTCATTTTGTGTTACTAAGGGGAAAAATATATATAAACAAATAAACAAATAAAAAGTAAATAAATAAATGAAAGAATGAATGAATGAATAAATAAATAAATAAATAAATAAGTAAAATAAATAAATAAATAAATAAATAAATAAATAAATAAATAAATAAATAAATAAGTAAAATAAATAAATAAATAAATAAATAGTTTGATAGATAAATAAATAAATGAATAAATGAATAAATGAATAAAATCGTGCTTGACATGTCAACAGTATGAAAGGAGAAAAAGTGAATAAGTCTTGATAATTGGATTTTTAATAGATCTTCGCGAAATAAAACCCTGTCATTTTAATGAAACGAAAACAAAATTGCGTGCATTTTTACTCTAACATTATCTAGAAAAACGAACAAAAATTATGACTAGTGCAATGGTAATGACGGGTGAGGGTGTGGTAGCACCAAAGATAGTAAATAACAAGATGGGCCACTCAGCCAAAAAAGTGTCCGCAGGAAGTTCGCTCTTTGCTTCAGATGTTGCTGCAGTCTGTTTTGAAGCTCTCTTTCGTTTTTCCAGAAGAAGAATGGGAATAGCACCTCCTTGCGTGCGCAGATCACAGAATTCTACACTTAGTGTAGAATTCTGTGGCGCAGATCGACTGCTCTTCGTCAGCAGTTCGGGTTCGTTCAGTGCGGAGTTTTAGGGTTTTTTAAATTTTAATGACCGGGGGAAGGAGTAACCCATTGAACTACGTGTTCTGGTCCTTCGACAGGGAATTGTGGAAGTCGATCTGTTTGGGGGTACTTTAAGCATAACTTTGTTATCCATACATGCAGATTTTTCAAATTTTGTTCTTTATCTAAAATCTAAATCTAAAAAGGTAGGCAGCAACTCGCTACCACAGAATTGCAAAGTTCTATCTGACAATTTCTGGACATTTTGTGTTACTAAGACCAGGAGGTCAGAAACAAAATGATCCATCTGCTCTATCAAAATCGTAAGATTTTTCGGAGCTGTCTTCAAGATATTTTAAAAAATTGCATCCGAAAAAGCTTGACATGATCTGAAACGTGAAACTCAAAATCTTTGACGTCAAATTTGTCAAAACTAGGTAGGCCTACTGAGCAGCTAGAACTTTGCACTTCCGAGATAACGAACTAGCACACTGAAAAATATAGGCCTACAAAAAACGGTGTTTCTAATTTGTAGATGATCGTTCGAATTTGACAGCAAATAGCTTTTCTTTCAGTCGGACAAACATGTCTGCTGTCCACTTTGTCCTGAAAGAGTTAACCTCGATCAAAATGTCAAGAGAAACTCGAAAAGCATATTTCTTACTTTAAATTATAATAGGCATACTGATGATATAAGACACCGAGGTTATTTCGCTTGATTTTCTAAAGCAAAGAGAAAGAGATGTGGCAGTAACACTAATTTTCAATAAAATTTCATTGTTAATAAATAATAGTACGGCATTTAAGGCGGACCCTTTTGATGTTATAAGATTTACACAACTGGGATTAATGTTTGAAATCAAAATTCTGTTGAGGTCCGTTAGCTCCATATTGGGGCGGGGGGTCAATGTTTTGTGATATTCATAAAATATATTTTTATATACGTCCTATATAATATAATGTATATTATACAAGTATATATCTATTGAATAATTTGTATGTGTGTGTGTGTGTGTGTGTGTGTGTGTGTGTGTGTGTGTGTGTGTGTGTGTGTGTGTGTGTGTGTGTGTGTGTGAAATCCAAAGAGTGGCTCTAACGTAACCAAGGGACGCGATGTATAATAGAGTTTAAAAACCTTTTTACCTCCCTTTTATTATAAAGTTGTCTTTTTTGTTTGTCAAGGCGTTTTTTTAATGCATGATGAGATGTTCCGTCGTAAAATAATTTTACCTCTAAACTAGGAGCATCACATTGTCGTGGTCATAACAAAATTACACGAAGTCATTTTCTGTTATTCAGGGGAAAAATATATATAAACAAATAAACAAATAAAAAGTAAATAAATAAATGAAAGAATGAATGAATGAATAAATAAATAAATAAATAAATAAGTAAAATAAATAAATAAATAAATAAATAAATAAATAAATAAATAAATAAATAAATAAATAGTTTGATAGATAAATAAATAAATGAATAAATGAATAAATGAATAAAATCGTGCTTGACATGTCAACAGTATGAAAGGAGAAAAAGTGAATAAGTCTTGATAATTGGATTTTTAATAGATCTTCGCGAAATAAAACCCTGTCATTTTAATGAAACGAAAACAAAATTGCGTGCATTTTTACTCTAACATTATCTAGAAAAACGAACAAAAATTATGACTAGTGCAATGGTAATGACGGGTGAGGGTGTGGTAGCACCAAAGATAGTAAATAACAAGATGGGCCACTCAGCCAAAAAAGTGTCCGCAGGAAGTTCGCTCTTTGCTTCAGATGTTGCTGCAGTCTGTTTTGAAGCTCTCTTTCGTTTTTCCAGAAGAAGAATGGGAATAGCACCTCCTTGCGTGCGCAGATCACAGAATTCTACACTTAGTGTAGAATTCTGTGGCGCAGATCGACTGCTCTTCGTCAGCAGTTCGGGTTCGTTCAGTGCGGAGTTTTAGGGTTTTTTAAATTTTAATGACCTCTCGCCTTTCATTTTAAAGTCAAATTAAACGAAGAAAACAATCACCCTTTCCTCCGGAAGAGGTATTTTGTCAGCGTAACCATTTTAAAAAAGCATTCTTCATAAATTCATTCAAAAACTTGCTAGTTTCACTTTAATTTTTAAAACTCAAGTAGGATAACTCTGTTCGCAAAAGGTGCGCTTTTGCGAAGAGGGCGCCACCGAATTTTGAGGACACTTTTTTAAGATGATCCACTCAGCCAAAAACTGTCCGCCGGAAGTCCGCTCTTTGCCTCAGATGGCGCTGCAGTCTGTTTTGAAGCTCTGTTTCGTTTCTCCTGAAGAAAAATAGGAATAGCACCTCCTTGCGTGCGCAGATCGACTGCTGTTCATTCATCAGCTGTTCGGGTTCGTTCAGTACGGAGTTTTAGTTTTTTAAAAACTTTAATGACCTCTCGCCTTTTATTCTTAAGTCAGATTAAACGAAGAAACAGTCACCCCTTCCTCCGGAAAAGGTTTTTTTTTGTCAGCGTAACCATTTTTAAAAAGCGTTCTTTCGAAATTTGAATTCTTATTTATTCAAAAACGTGTTGGTTTCACTTTGATTTTTTAAAACACAAGTAGGGTAACTCTGTTCGCAAAGGGTGCGCATTTGCGAAGAGGGCGCCCCAAATTTTAAGGACACTATTTTTAATAGGCTCAAAGAGAGGAGTGGCCCCTCTTGTTATGTAGACTCTTTGATATAAACAAACCTGGCGGATTTTCTAAAATTACAGAGACAGACGCATCGACCTACAAAAGCGATCGGCGAAATAAAGAAATTTAGCTTTTTGCAGCAAAACTGTCTCAAAACTGTAAAAAACTTGGAGTAACTACATAGGGAGAGGCCCTAACATTGCATCGCCCGCTCAACAGTTCCAACCAAGTTGAAACCGAAGGGGCGGAGCTTATCGGGCCTGCCGCCATCTTTGTAAGTTCAAAACAATGCAGCGTACGCAGCGTAATCTCTTTTCAAAACAAGCTGCTCGGACTCCATTGTCTCTGGATATTTCTTTGTCAATGTTAATTA